TTCTTGGAGAGTGGGGTTTCCTCGCTGACTGCTGTCTGTCTCGTTCTCCTCATGTGGTTTTCAGCCTGCGAAGAAGACGACAATCAAGGATCATTAATGCTTTTCTTCAATGATCATCTTGGCCGAGTCCTTAGATAAGACAACTTGCAAAATAATCCCTTATTTCCCTTGCAAAATTTAGTGTCTCTCTCAGCTCACTTAGTTAGTAAGAATGACAGTTATTGGCTAACTACGCAGCGTTGTGACAGTGAGTCAGGTCCTCAGTGGACTGTGTAAGCGTATAAATAATGGGGGGCCAACGCATTGAGGGCTACTTTAGAAGTTTTAGTGACACAAAAGTTGAATATAGAGGGCTTGACATGATCGTACGCTAGCCGTTCGGAAGTACCACTTGCCTTGGTCCGCTTATCTGACTATTTTGCAGAAATAAAGAGGCATGTAATCTTCATATTCATGCGTCCATGCCCTTCTGTGGACAGACGGAGGCTGCAAATTCCACTTGGAACTACGATGTCGTCACATTGCGTGATTGTACAGTTCTGATTACTTGCGTGATTGCACAACGTGACCATAGTGTCTAACTGCTCGGCGTCATTGCATTGTGTGACCGCACAGTGCTGATCGCGCCGTGTGACAGCGTCATACGACTACTTTATGCGCGACTGCATAAGTGAACGGCTGCTTGGGGTACGCGAAATTGCCCGCTTGAATGCTCATTTGCAGTCGTATGCCTTCGCGCGTGACCTGAGGGGGATTGGGTACTTGACCGTATAAGCCTGCATGTGACCGTGTGAGTAGAAGAATGCATGCTTGAGTGTTCCCTTTTCTTGGTGGAATCGGTGAGGGCAAAATTGATATTTGTCGAATGTACCAGCTTGCTTTTCGCTCCCAGAGTACTTTGCGTAGTACAGAGGCTACTGCCTTTTGATTTCTGTCTATACCTTGATTTCAGATGTATGGGGAAGAGAAAAGCAATGCTGAGAAGGATTTCCTATGTCCTCGCTAAGTACCTACTTGACGATGACTAAGGTACCCGGACCTGTTCGAGCTGGAGTAACCTTCAACTCAAAAGTCTGTAGAGTCATAAATTCATTCTTGCTAAAGCTCCTCCTACGCCTCCCCATTTACTGTTCTAAGAGGGTGTTGTTCTAGATAGCCATCTACGTAAGTTGACAACGGTCTGGCTATCAGGACAATTCTCTCTGAAATACTGTTTTGTCAGTTCTTATGAAAGTTGAATACGACTTAGTCACGCGCCTGACGTTAGTTTCCAGATGGGGAAAGTTGGTCTTTGAGTTTTAGCAATTCCGAACTCCTAACTGGGGTGTCTCGCTGAATCTGACCCGTCCGCGTAGTACGAGTGGGCCGTACTTAAGATCGAGCTCTTAACCCGAAAGACGTGGTTGATACGAAGCGGTGTGTGGGGATTGAGTTGACTGCTTAGTTGCTCGGGACCACGAGACCAGACATGTGAACCTCGAGAGAGGGCCTTGTTTGCACATGACTGAGGGCCAGCGTTGTGGTCAGGAAAAAAAAGGTGAGTGTGCTTTGTGTGAAGCTCTTGCAGCCCACCCTCCACTCTGCTTCCCGTAGGCTCGGGTTAAGGGTACTAGTGAGCAGGACAATCACGGAGAACGCAGACCTGGAGTGAGTGATCCACTTCTCTCTGACAGGACAGAAGGGGGGGGGGTAGTTGAAAGAATCTTGTGTATTCATTGGGTGCTTGGATGACAGTCAGATGACGGGGGCGGCTCGATATTCTAATACGGGATTTTCCTGAATTCTAGCAGAGAGATGCCGTTGACGCTCTTGCAAATGTTGTCCTCGTCGAGGTCTTTAGCTTTCTAGATCTTTTACAGATGCAAAAATTGTTAATACCTCGGTAAAACATAATTGGGTCGGCAGGCAACCTGAAATCAGTCTCAGATATTACTTAAGCAAGACTCAGGTACTACTCAAACAGGATTCAGACTTTACCTTCACGAAGTTCAGTCAATTTTCAGAATACACTCGGACAGCGTTCCGTGGTACTCAGAGCTCAGAGAAGGCATCTTAACGAATGCACAAAACTCAGATAGTGTTTGGAAGTTTTCCAGGGCTCCGATTGGCATGCAGCGTAGAAGTCAGAACTTGGGGCAGTATACTATCCCTTTCAAGTTGCTACTTAACTACTGCTTAATTTGCTTTCTCATCGCCGAATCAGTGGGAAAACCTTCTCAGATCAAATGCTCAAGCGACTGTCCTGAAAACAACAATCAACAGAGAACAATAGTAAACAAACTTTATTTGGCCAGTGCTAATCATTCGCCACTCAAGACATCGGTGTTCTTCTGATCAGTGATTAATTATCCAAAACTCAGGGGCTCACCGTCTTGGGATCTGAGTGTGATTAGGGAGACATGAGGGACAACGAGATTCTAATAGTGAAGAGCGCACTGATCAGGGAAAAGAAAGAGGGATGGGAAGAAGAAGTGTGTAAAGACATGGAAGCTCACTGGCAAGTGCAGAGAGAGCATGCAATCAGAATAGCAGGCGAAAAGAAATACGTCGAATATGTAACCTACTTCTACGGGCCTGGCAACAAATTACACAGTACTAGTTCCATGCTAGAGGGTATAGAACAGGCTAGGGCAAGACTTGTTCGAGTCCTGTAGCACTCTAAACTCCGCGCTGTGGTACATGTAAAAATTCTATCAACTTCTAGTAGCAACCGGTGGAACCCTCCACCCGCAGCAAAGTAACATATTGAGTCACAACCTGGAGGCAATATTCAGGCAATACTCGACATTCAACAACAGTCAGTTCTCCGTTAGTTTCTTCTAGCAGCTTTGAGGCTCAAGCAACTTCGAAATCTGCAATCAATCAGTTTCTTTCAGACCGGCAAGCAGCCGAAAGAGTAACCAGATCAGAAATCATACCAGCAGCCCAACAAGCAATTCAGCAGCCAGTTCAGCAAACAGATCAACATCTTATCAACGTTTGGTCGAAAAATCTCAGCAGCATCCTGTCCATGATCAGCAAAATGGAGGCAGCCATCAGGAGATGGCAATCTTAACAGCAATCACTAAACGGTAATCAGTTGAGTAATTAGAAACAACACTTCAGGGTGGCAGTCTCAGCAGCAGTAATCAACTGGTAACTAAGCTGCGAAAACCAAGGGGAGGAATGGGTGATAGAGACATTATAAAGGTAGCATGCCCACTGCGTCAGGGCGTGTCAGAGGATTGGAGGGAGAGCGCAGTGGAAGAGTACAATCAACAGACAATCATGATGATGGAGCAAGCTTTGATGCAGGTAAGAGGTCACACCCGGATTGAGTACACTTATAATTTACATGACAAAAATGGCAGGTTGTGCGCCACTATTTCCTCAGTGGGCACTGTAGAGGAAGCAAGGAGGGCTGTCCGGGGTTTTCGGTGAGACAAGTTACGTGCAGACTGAAGAGAACTGGCTAGACTTCAAAACAACTGTTTGCAGTAATCAGTTATCAGCAACCACTTAGTCAGTAATCAGCCATCGGCAATCAGTTTTCAGCAACCAGTTTCCAGTAGTCAGTTTGGTAACCAGTTCTCCAGAACCATCTGATCAGTTTATACTGGCAAGGGTACTCATGAGCACAGTTCAGTCTACGTCGGTCAGTGAGTCAGTACTAGCCAATCTCAATTGGATCTCATGCAAAGAGGCGTTCCATTATTAGTATATTAGTGCCATTGGTTGCAGACAGGGAGATCTGTCAATCTTCGTTGTACAAACCAGTTTTGCACTATTCATGATCTGAGGCCCTACCCGAAGAAGGGCAAAGAGGCTCATGAGCTCTTCGACCCAGTTTGGATCTCAGCCACAGAATATCTTGAGCAGAGAGAGAGGGAGCTCGATGAGTGTGGCACTACTCTGATTCGCAACTTTGGGCCGATGCTTTATACTGACTATCCTAGGCCTCCAGTTCCTTCTCTTCTCACAGATGGCACAAGTTGGCTGGATTTGATTGGTATGGCAAAGAGGTACATCTCCCCTGCAGTGATCGACGTTGAGGTGCTGACCGAGCCCACCGAGTATCCCTACCTCAGACGAGGAGTCTTCTCAGCGGACGGACTGCCTACTTTATGGGAGGAGTTTTGCTACATGGTTAACTACCGTGTCATGTGTCTTGGATGGTCATGCTCAGAGCTTGCTGGCTACAGGTGGCATTTTGTCACGAAGCCTCAGTCTCAGATTGTACGTGGGCGTGGGTCTCGGCACCAGAGAAGATCAGTGAAGAGAGATTGAAAGAGACTGACCAGAGGGATGAGTGAGGACTCTTGAGAGGTGCTGACCACGCTTCTTCATGTGTACTTTCTGAGACTATTATGAGTTTGAATTCTTCCCTTATTCATTTGACCTTGTCTTTGCTTGAGTCAGTCAGTCTTATTCTTTGCATTATTTTTGCTGGATGATCGCCTTCGTGGATGTTTTGTCACAGTTCTCAAAATCAGATTGACATAATTGATGCATGCATAGCACCCCATAATTTTATGATTATTATTTGCATAATTCTCTGCTGATCGGAATCAAAATAAAAGATTCCTAAGACCTGGGACCGGCGAAGATCGCAATTGAAGGGTCTCGCTCGAAGCCGGACGCACACAACAGGAAGGGATTTGCATTATTTAATTTATTTTATCTATTGCAATCACATACAAAATCCTGCGTGACAGCCTGATGGCTTTCCGGTCGCCCGAAGAGGCTTGACTGGAAAAAGTGCGACAACGGATGGGACATGGCACGAGACGCCTGTTGGCTTGCTGCTGCATGCGGACTTGAGCCTTTTGCATATTCGCGCGGGCTTGAGCCAGCAATTCCCTGTACTTCCGGACGAAAGCGGGAGAGCAAGCGGCGTCGATGTCGGCTGGTCGTGGGAGGAGAAGGTCGGCGAAGATACGACCTTTCCTTCCACTATGGTGCAATTCGAATGGAGTCACGCCGATCGCCGGGTGCACCGAAGTGTTGTAGGCGAACTCGATGTCGGGGAAGCGGTCAACCCAATCTTTCTGGTCCGGACGGATGAGCGTACGAAGCATCATTTGAGCGGTTTGATGTGCCCACTCCGTTACCCGTCCGTCAGTGGATGAGCAGCCGAACTTGGTTTCATCTTCGTGCCGGACTCCTGCATGAGAGCAGTCCAAAATGCCGACATGAAGCGAGTGTCATGGTTGCTGACTATGTCTTCCGGTACACCGTGGCCGCAAATCCAGCCGGTGTGCAAGAGGCGTGCCAGCTCGGGAGCCGTGGAGTAGTACTTGCAAGAGAGAAAACGTGCGTACTTACTCAAACGGTCCACGACCGTGAGGATGTCATCGTGCACGAGGCAGTCGTGAGGAAATGGTCCGGTGACATCCATGGCAATGGAGAGACCAGGTTCCCGTGGGATCGGCATCGGGCGCAACTCGCCGTAGGGGTTGCGGTTGCGGGGTTTGCTTCGTCGGCAAACTTCGCAAGAGTTGCAGTACCGAGTGACATTGGTAATGAGGTCGGGCCATCGGAATCGTTGCCGAAKTCGTGCAATAGTGCGATTGACTCTAGWATGGCCGGCGAGTCGCGAGTCATGGTACTCACCGAGAAGGCGAGTCCGAATACGACGGTCGCGTGGGACACACAATAAGTCCTTGCCTCTCGAGTGGAGAAGCAAGTACCCATCGACGATGCGATAGTGGCTGGTCGGCGGGTGATCCGAAGATAGTTGCGCATACAACGTGGCGAAATCCGGATCAGACTCATAGCCCCGGATGAAGTGTTGCTGAAGTTCCTCGTCGAATGCGAAGGCATGATGTGTCATAGCGCAAAGATCAGGTCTTCGCGAGAGTGCATCTGCTGCGCGATTGGAGAGGCCGGGAAAATGTTTCGGTGTCAAGTCAAATTGGTCGATGAAGTACATCCATCGTCCGATCGTGCTGCTCACCATATCCTGCGACTTGTAGTAGGTCAATGGGTTGTTGTCCGTGACCCATGTGAACCTACGATGCCCAAGGAGGAAGTGCCACCATCGCTTGAGAGCCATCACGAACGCGAGCAACTCCTTCTTCCTTGCATCATCAAGTGAATTGATGGGAGGCACTTTGTGGCTGAAATACTCCACAGGGTGCCAGTCGTCGCCATCGTGTTGTTCCAAGACTGCCCCAATGCCATAGCAGGAAGCGTCGGTTGTCACTCTCGTTGGCAGGGTGGGGTCATAGATGCTAAGGACGGGTGCCATGAGCATGGTCGTCTTAAGTGCTTGGAATGACCGACGTGCGTCATCATCGAACACAAATGGCACCTTTGGCGATTGTAATCTCGTCATAGGTGCAACAATCCTTGAGTACCCGGTGATGAATCGTTGATAGTAGCCCGCCAACCCCATGAATGAACGAATGTCCGTGGTGTTGGTGGGCTCGGGCCATACGCGGAGGGCCTCGATCTTGTCCGCAAGTGGACGGATGCCTTGCGGCGTCACATAATGTCCCAAGTACTCCAGCTCCTGCCGTGCGAAATCGCACTTGTCGCGGTTGGCTTTGTACTTGGCTTGTCGTAGCCGCTCCAAAACGGTGCGCAAGTGTTCCACATGCTCCTCCAAACTCCGGCTGTACACTAGGATGTCATCGAGGTAGATAAGTACGTATCGATCCAGCATGTGTCGGAACTCCGTTGTCATAGCCGCTTGGAAAGTGGCCGGAGCATTCGTAAGGCCAAACCACATAACCAGCCATTCGAAATGCCCATATCGCGTCTTAAACACGGTCGTGTAGCGGTCCTCCTGCCTAATCTGGAGTTGGTGATATCCCGACTTGAGGTCAAGCTCGGAGAAGAACTTGGCGCCGCCCAGCCGCTCGAGGAGGTAGTCGATGCGTGGAAGAGGGCCGGCGTTTCTGATCGTTTGCATGTTGAGCTTGCGATAATCGATGCACAACCGCAAATCCTTGTTCTTCTTCCGGACGAAGAGAACCGGAGCACCGTATGGCGATGAGCTAGGCCGAATCCAGCCTTTCTCCAGAAGGTCGTCGAGTTGTGCCCGTAGCACACTTGACTCTTCCTCGCTCATTCGGTAGATGCAACCACGCGGAGGTACAACCCCGTCCTCGAGGATGATCTCATGGCGGATGGGCCGATCTGGTACTACTCAGTGCGGGCCTTCGAACACGTCACCGTCCGAAGATGAGTCCATCGATGAAGCATCATGGGGCGAGAGGGCGTGGAGAAAACACACCTCCATCTCCTCGATGTCGTCTCTGATGATGAAAGCTCGCATGCTTGCGGCGGACACCACGTGGCAGCTGATCGAAGGGTGAGGAGGAGGCACCGTGCATGGGACTAGTACTCCGTTCCGATCACGAATGTGAACGGTGCAGCGGTAGAAGTTCACCTGGTGATCCTCGCTTCGCAGCCATGACATGCCCAAGATCATATCGAATTTGGTGTCCAAAATATCGAAGGACACCGCCTCGCTTACATGCGGGGCAAAGTACACGGGGACGTCATCTATGCACCGGTCGATTGACTTGTGCGTGTGACCGTCTGCCAACGTGACTTGCGTAGGCTGGGACTTCCTCCGGACACGTGGGCCAAGGCCGGCGTGTACCATGAAGTCCTGGCTCATGTAGTTGTGAGATGCTCCGCAATCGATCAAAGTGCTGCAGGTTGTCTCTCCGATCTGAATGCGTACATATAACAATGGCGTGTCGATGTCGTCGTACCGTTGTGTCTTGAACTCGCGGTCGATCTTCGCAATGTAGGCGTGAAGGTCGACAACCTCTACTCTGGCGTCCATCAACGGAGTTGGTACTGCAGTGTGCAAGTAATCCCGCAATTGTGCCATGAGCACGTTGCAATGCGGTTTTGGCAATCGACCGGACCGAGGAAGGGGCATCCATTGTAAGTCCGCAAACGTCAACGGGTCGAGCTCTTCAAGTCTTGACCATGACGTTGAATCCCCGACGATAGAGGGTGGCGAAGCTGCCGAATCGGTTGCCAATGGTGATGAAACCGTGCATGCGGTAGATTGTTGCACGTGGAGTGGTTGGTCCAACGGTGGGACCAAGTGGACAGCATAGTCCTCGTAAGTGTACGGAGAACTTGCGACATTCACATCCTCCCCAGATGTGTAGGAGGCCGCTAGCAAGGCGACCGAATCTGGCGGAGGGAGAGGTGGAGTTGCCTCACCTCCCGCGGAACTCAGTTTCCCGAGTTGATACGAGGCCGAACATCCTCCTTGCCTTGATCCGGACATTGGGAGGTCTTGTGCTTGGTGTCATTGCACCAATAGCAGCATCCGTAGCTGCCGCGCCACTTGTATTCCACCTCGGTCAAGTGAAACTTGACCCATTGTGCTGGCTGTCCGTTTTCGGCCGGCGATGTGGTTTTCGCCTTCCCGTTTCCTCGGGACTTGTTGTTGCTTCGCGGCTGGACAACAGCCACCTGATCTCCCTCACGTGACGCTTGGGTGGTTGCCGGGTCTTCCACAATGTTGTCCGATTGGACTGCAGTGACATGCTGCGGTTGCGGACCAGTTTTCACCTTCTCCACATAGGTTGGCTGCCATGCTGATTTCTCATGTGCAGCTGCCCTATTGGTCTTGATGATCTCCCTTGCTTTGTCGATGATTTCAGCGAAGGTTGCGTATTGCTCGCGATCACCAAGTGCAAGGCTCAAGGCGGCACATGACCGGTTGTAGAACTCTCGGCGCCGATGCGAAAATGGCAAGTCAAGATCGGGCGTTGCCGCGATCTTTTGCCATTCCGTGAGCCAGTCACGTGTCGATGTGTTGCCTTGCGTCATAGCAAAGAGGCGGTTGATGGCGAGCGTCGGGGCGTCGTCTATGATGAACTGTTTCTTCAATAGTCGTGTTAACTCTTCCCAAGAGATCTTATCTTTCAGATCTGCGATGTCGACGCCGTGGACGGTTGCCAGGTGGCTCAGCCAGGTATGACTTCCGCCCTTTGAGTTGAGGAACAACGCGCCGATGTACGCGTGCTTGGCGACGAACAGAATCCGAAGTTGCGTCGTAAAGCCCTCCCACCAGAGGACCGGGTCTTGATGCGTATAATCATCGAACTTCTTGATTTGGAATGTCGGCATCTTGTAGTGCTGCGTGGTGTTGCCATCCTTGTTAGGCAGCTGCAGTTGCTGAACCTCGGTCTTCAAGGTGTCCAGCTGGTTGCTGATGGTGGCTGGTGCAACGAAGGTACTGATGTCGCTGAGCATTGCGACCACGCGGTCAACTCGTTCCTCCAGTTGGCGGGCAGAGGGTGCACTGCTGGACTCGCCAGCCTCCGGTCTTGGTGCAGTTTGCTCCAAGTCCTGTACACGGGAATCAAGTGCCCGTGCTGCATCCTCGTGCTGAGCCTTGTGGTTCCGTACGACCCGCTGGAGGTTCGCCAACTCGGACTGCAGGTGGTTACAAGTGTAAACCAACCTAGTCACGAGTTTGGCCATGAATTCCTTGTGCTGCTCCTCCGGTATCGCGTCGCCGAGCTCCTCGGATGGTTCAAAGTGCCAAAACTTGGGCTTTTCTATGCTGGTGGCTTCATGCCGCTGTAGCAGATCCTGGGCCTCCTTGCGGCGTGCCTGGGTATCTGCTTCAGCTTCGGCTTGAAGTCGCTGTTTCTCAGCTGTTGCCGCCGCTTCAGCCTGTAGGCGGACAGCCTCGGCTGCCACCTGGCGCTGTTCCTCAGCCTCGATTAGTGCGAGCTGAGTCTGGAACCGCTGTTTGTACTCGGCAATGGACTCGTTGGCCAGTTGGGCTGGCATGCCCAGAGCTGAGCCCGTAATGGTGGCTGGGCACTGCTGACGTGGCACTTTGGCACTGCTGGCGTGGTACTGTTAGTGATGTGGCACTGTTGACGTGGCACTGCCGATGTGGCACTGTGGGGGACGTGCTACTGCTGACGTGGCACTGTTGCTGACGTGGCATTGTACCAACCCGGAAATGCATGCAAAGGGGTGGGTGGGAGGGAAAACGCAGGTTGGTAACCAACCCAACAATACTTTCCTCCTGGCCCTAATCAACAGATAAATAAATAAATAAA